AATTGTTTAGATTTGTTTGTCGAACTATTTTCAGGTTGGCCTTTCTATGTAAAGCTGAAACAGTAAGTTTAGCGAGCCAAGATGGATTACCCTATCAATTCGTCTGGCGATGCCAGTCCAAGGAAGTCAAGCATGTTGTTTGTAAGCACTGTTTCAGGACCCCGGCCATCATAAGCTCTCACCACTGCTGTCAATGCCTGGGCAGAAATCCCATATCCACTGCATGTGAGATGCCACATAAACCGGTCAAACAAATCCACCAATGGCAGCCACATTGACATAGACTATATGTATGAACCAGCTTCCACTAACTGATTCAATTATCTTGTATTAAAGTTACTGTCATGGATTAGAAAACATAGTCCTTTTTGACTAACCTGCCCCAATCACCTAGAACCGGCCCTGCACCTGCTGCTCGGGCTTCCCTGCCATCACTGGTGAACCCATAAGCTATGGTCCCTGTCCCTGCGATGAGCACGCATCCGTGCAGCTTGCCCATGGTTCCACTGGCCAACGCCGCCACCGCGTCGTTCTCCACGAACAGCTTGACATGGCTTGGAAATATGTCCCTGAAAAAGAGTGTTTGTCTGCACTCAGTTGGAGAGGAACTTAACTGAAAAATAGACTACAGTTTCAGTTGATAACTGTCTGAAATATAATGTTTCGCTAAATTGGGCATATATATACTAGACTAACCTGAGCCAATCCAGCATTCTCTGCTGATCGATCGGATGGTTGACGCCTGCTACAGCCAAGCAGACTGCGCAGACATTGGATCGTCGCCGGCGCGCCTTGAGCAGCGCCTGTGACATCACTCTCTCCAGTGTCTCCCTTGCCCTGTCCTCTGAACAATCGGAACAAGAAAAGTAAACAACAGCTTCTTTTACTACTTTTACAATTTTTTTATTATTTTAACCAGCAGGAAAATCCCACAGGATCGTTTACTGGTTTGTTATCCATCACGATCATTGCTTGTCACTGCAGGAAACTTGTGCAGAGCAAGGAGCTGCGATCGTTGAGCTGAGTCCAGATGCTGTTACCTCCGACGGAGTTGTGGTTGGAGCAGCCGGCGACGGTGCGGGAGAGGACCGGGAGCGGGTCGTTGAAGGGCATGGCAGCGGGGATGCAGACGCAGACGGTGTTGCTGGCGCCGCCGTCGACGCCGAGGATGACGCTGCCCATGCGCGGGCTCTGGCACTCCTCCACGTCCCACATGTCTCGCCCCGTGTGCCGCTGCATCTCTCCCTCTCTGCCTGAAGCACTCCCTGGCTTACACACTGGAAAAGGAAAGAGAAGGGGACCCTGGAGAAGAAGAAGAATCTTCTCCGGCCAGGCCACCAACTGCTCTGCTAGTATGCAGCTGAGGTGAGCTTTTGCTCCATATATATGTACGTATTAGGTCGCCGTGGATGTCTAGCCGAGGCGAAAGGGACGGGGAGGAGGAAGACGACGGAGGGACCGCGGAGGGAAATTCGGAGGGCGGCTGTCCGCACGCGCGTCCTGTGTCCAATGCCGCGACGGCAGAGTTGTTTACTAGAGGTGGCCTCTGCACTCCCAGCCTGCTTGCTTTTGTTGGTTTGAACGTCACTTGGTGGCAGGAGAAAGAGAGAGCGCCGTTCCGTTCCGCCTGGGATCGTGTTACGCGCTGATGTTACTGACAGCACTGGTAAGAACTCCGGACCTTAGTTTACGGGATTTTTAATTTTTTGACATTGTTACGAACGACAGTCCTTCGTTTGCCATTTTTATACGCGCTCCTATACAATTACTATCGCAAACAGTGAACCTCCTACGTTTTTACCATTTTTGCTGACATGGCACGTCAGGTGGGTATGCCAGCGTGACAGTGAGCCGGAGAAAGCCTACTGAGAATGCGAAAGGACCTATTTACCCCTGTTGCTTCTCTCCCACTACTTCCTGACGGGTGAGCCCCACACGTTAGCTTTGTCTTCAACCTCTCGCCATCACCCGAAGCCGAGCGACCCGACAGCGAGCGGGCTCTGGCGGCGGAGGGAGGAGGAGCGGCGCACTGGCACCTAGGCCGTGCTGCTACAGAGCCGCTGCCTCATAAAAGCTCCCTGCGCTTGCTCCTGTTTGCAGCTTCCACGGAGGCGAGGTAGAAGACTGGAGCTTGCACGGAGCTGCGGCCATGACTGGAGCTCCATCGTCACCATCGATCTCCTCCATCCAGCCGTCTCTGCTACTCCCAACGGGCTCTGCGAGTTCGCGGTGGCATGACGACTTCACCCCGCTACTCGTCGTTCGGCAACCCCTGCCCCATCGCTGTGAGCCACCGCCGTCGCCGCCATTGCCGTCCCGAGGTCGAGCTCACCGATCTCCGCATACACAGCAGCTCTCGCCTCCCTGTCTCCTACGTTGGTGCCGCAAGGACCCGCCGCGGCCGCCTATCCACATCTCAGCGCCAATCCATGGCCGCAGTGGTGTCTTCCACCTCAACCGAAGCAATCCGTCGGAGAGCCTCGCTTTCTACCCGTGTCTGGCTGCCACCATCCCCTCTTTGCCGCAAGAACTCCTCCATCGACTTCGCGCGCGGTGCCTTGCTCGTCGTCCTCGGCTGCTCGGCAGCCATGGAGGGATGACGAAGCTGGAGGTGCCTGGCTCCCATCCAGGTGCTGGAGGTGTGAGATGAAGCTGGAGGTGCCTGGCTCCCATCCGTGGCTGGAGGTTGAAGACAAAGCTGACGTGTGGGGCCCACGCGTCAGTGAGTAGAGGGAGAGAAGCAACAGGGGTAAATATGTCATTTCGCATGCTCCGTAGGCCTTCTCAGGCTCACTGCCACGCTGGTGTGCCCATCTGGCGTGCCATGTCAGCAAAAATGGCAAAAACGTAGGAGGTTCACTATTTGTGATGGCAATTGTGTAGGATCACGTATAAAAGTGTCAAACGAAGGAGTGTCATCCGTAACGATGGCAAAAAGTTATAAATCCCGTAGTTTACTGAGCAATTTTGTGTGTATCTTCTGCAGGTCTTGTACTTTGTATGTTTGCCGGCTGCCTTCTCTTGATCACACGTGTGGTGTGGAGATATTGCACTAGGTGCTGCGGGCAGGTCCACGGTAAAAAAACAACGGACGTCCATGCCAAACAGGTCAAATTCTACCTCTAGCTGTTACCTCCACCTGGGATTCACTTAAGTTTATTCTCAGCTCTCCTGTTGGTTTTCACATGGATGGTTATGCTTATGCAGATCCCCTTCTCTGAAACCTGCCACTGCTAGCTACAGTTCTTACACTCAGCTGAGAGTTTGTGCTCCTGCAGTTTACTTGGACTCAGTTGAGATGACATGCATTTCGTTGTCACCGTAGCGTAAAGTACTACAAAGCATTGGTGCTCCAAATGTCAAGCGTCTGCAGGTGGATTCAACGCCCGTTTACTCTTGTTACGCCATGGGTCTGTTTGGTGGTCCGATCGACACACGCTGGCTGCCACCGGTGACAGGACAAAATCCTCCCTGCCCTACCACGCTCAGCACGGCCCCTTTCATCACAATTATTATCTATTATTACATCTAAACGAAATATGCTCGATTCGCACTATGATAAGCCTGCATCGCTATCGCCCGGTCGTTTTGTTCGATTCGACCCCCTGAATGCCTCTTCTCCTGCCATATGGCTTGTTCCTGGTGGGGATGAGCTACACGACGTTTAGAAGCAGGCAAGGGACCCTGCAGGTGACATCGGGAGACGACTCAGGTTTGCACTGCACCCCAAACGACAAAGGGAAGGAAGGAAACGTGTCTAGAGCAATCTGGGCTGGTAGTTGATCCCCCAAATCTTGCGGTTGTTTTGGATGCGCATCCACGACCTGATGTTGATCCAAATGGCTCCATCGCTGACACACAATTCCTCGTTCGTTCTCGTGCTGCCATCTTTCCAATCGGCAGTTCTTCCTAAAAAAGACCCTCAATCGGTTCTTCGTTACCTCATGATAGACTTACTAAACGACCCATACCAGCGTGTGCTAATATTTTTTGCCAGCGACTTGCACAGCCCAGCTAGACACACTAACAAGGCCCATTAAACACTTGCTGCCGCCCGTGGTAGGTCAGATAAAATTTTGGATACGAATTTTGGGGCAAAATAAGCGTGTTTTCTTTTCCTTTGTGTCTTGGGAATCCTATGATCTTGCTGTTGTGAGTTTCCTGCATTCTAGATTCTTATAGAATTCCAAGTGCATAGGCATTTCAATCCTATGTTCTTCCTATTTCTGAAATTTAATAATCCTATATTTCAGCGAGGGTCATAGTAAAAGGCCTGTTTGAAGTCACTCTTTCTAAATGTTTTTAGTTGGTAACTATTACCAATATGAATCCAAACAGGGCCTAACGAAGGATGATTTCTCACGATTTTATACCTCACAAAAGTCACAGGTACCTAGCAATAGGGTAACCGCAGCAAATAATGTATATTGAACTATCTTGGTGTTCAACAATGAAATTTCTGCTAGCACACAAATGGTAATAGTACTACTTTTTATATCAACATACTGTTTTTTTAATAAACTATATCTGTATAAATATAAAGGTGTTCTGATTGTTGTTACAACTAGTTACAGATCTGTTGTGGTTTTGTACAACACAGTCGTAAGGATTTAGAGCTGAAAATTACAAATTATCTGTATGACATTGACGCACAATAATATGTACTAGGCTGGGAACGCGCGCTTCGCCGCGTGTGCAGGGAGGAACGTACGTGAGCAGTGACGCGAGCAGCAAGAGGAGTTTGGAACAATAAAACAACGGTCCTAAACAGTGGCGAACCGAGAATTTGCACAGTGACTGGCGAGCGAACAGCAATTAGCGCGTGAACAGTGACTGCCGTGTGGATATGCGGAGGAGGGAGCCTTTCATTACGTGTTTAGGAGTAATCCAATCTTATATGTTTCGTACATTTGGCAAATGGCATTGAAATGTGGAAATGGTCAGGTTGTTCTATGGGAGCATTAAAACTATTGTAGAGCGTACGTGCAACAGCAATTTCTTCACCTCAGCAGGTACTCCGAAGCTTCCTGAACGAGCTTATCCACTATAATTTTGTAGGCTTTCTCACTAGGATGGAAGCCGTCCCAAAAAACATAATCAATTACATTTGGGCATGCACTCTGATATGCAATGAATATGGCGGCATTTAACAGTGTGCTACCGCAGCAACCTTCGCTGACATCCTTGAAACCTGTAAAAATATGGCTCGTTCTTTAGTCGTGCATAAATGATCCCAAGGGCAAGCCTAATAATAGAGCCAAGTATTTGATATAAGTCAAATTGTAATAGCCAAATTATACAACAGGTGTCTCTATTTGTCTATAAAAACTTTTTTATTGTTGCTTTTACCAATGTCTCATCTTCTCTTTCATAATCCACTTCACATTCACTTGATATCTAGGCCCACCACCGTATAGGCTCGTGTGCTCAGCTTGTTGCTTGCATGAGAGCCTAGCTCTCCCCCTCTCCTTTCTTCTCTCCTCCACACCAGCAAAATGCTGACTAGCTTGGCTATAAGTCTATTATCGTACCTGGTCTGACGAGAACATGCCAACTAACTGTTCAGTTGAACCCCTTTGAGCACTAGAGAAAGCCTCCAAGAGAGAAGAAACAGAGAGAGAGATTAGAGAGGAGATCTTGCTATAGATCAAGAAGGGTTCGTACTCAAGGTTGTGTAGCTACAGATCTACATCCTTGGTACCTCTAATTTGAATTCCACCATCATTTGGTGAGGTATTTCTTCACCCTAGTAGCAGCCTCAAATCTTATTATTGTTGTCCAAGATCTATAGATCTTGATGTATGGAAGCCTCTAGTGTTATTTAGAGATAAATTTGTTGTAATCCCATAAGCAGATAGTGGAAGACGATTTGGCTGGCTTGGTCTCGTGGTTTTTACCGTAATTTGGGGGTTTCCGCGTTATATCTAGCGTTTTGCTGTTGAGATGAAGTGTGGCTGCAACTAGTTGCAGCTGCTGTTGGAGTGACCAACTGCAAGTAGTTGTGATTGTTGTCAGTGCTGATTGTGACCAATTGCAACTGAGGTTGATGTGATAATAACTTGTTGGAATCAGTCGTGAGTGTTGTCATTTCCTCCATTTATATGTGTGATGCATATGTTTCCTTCTTTGAATAGGTAATGATTCTGGGCTGATCTCAAATTGTGGTGAAGTTAGTGCTTCCGTTGTCACTATCAAGCTGTGTTAGTGTGGTTATCCGAACAATAACTAAAACATCTTGAGAAAGAAGATGTACAAAATACAGACAATCGTATATAATTAGATTAGTTTATCATATCTTACAGCTAGATGTGGTCTATGATGGTATGAAGGTTGGTTTAGTAAGCTTACAACATCAATCAATCAATATTATTGGGTTGTAGCAGCGAATAAAATGTAAAACTTACCGTATAAAGCTGGATTCTGAATAAGATCAAGCAACTTGTAGTATACGTCAAAATAAACAATCTTTGATCCAGAAGCACTTCGTTCTGCATTCAATCGCTCTATTTCCTTTGAAACTCTAGAATTATATAACTGTGATGCTTGGTTCCTTAATGGTTCACACTGACGTGACGGGCTTTCTCCTAGTGTAATTTGTGAAGGACAACATCCCAATGGTGTGACACCAAGAAATCCAATCCTCTTAGCTCCCATATCATTCAGAGTCTGTACAAAAGAAGAGAGCAATTAAACATGATGTCTTTCTAGTACTCTTTATACAAGACCTATTTGGTTGATGACGTGCAAGGTTGCCTGGCCAAGCAGGCAGCATCATGGGACTTTGGATTACTATAGAGACCTTGGGGATAGATGGTGCTGCTTGGCCCAAGCAAACTAGCTAAATCAGTAACCAAAACAACCCTTTACTACACTGGGAAAGTTTCACCACGCAAGGAGAAAACAATATGATGTCACATCTATTACTATAAAGCTATCATTGAGAAGAGTTAAATGCCTCGAAGCTCTATTAATTTGTGTGAGGGTTCCAGTTAGATCCATCAACTCTTAAAATAGTTTTTTGGTCAATAATCTTCTGAAGTTGTGTGACCTAGGTGCATGTCCATACCTCCACTATATGGGCTTCTAATGATGACATGGCATTTCATCAGACAAGTTGTGGGCTGACCCATTAGAGCACCGACCACCACTCAAGAACCTTTGTGATGACAAAGATGAGAGATGAACAGACTTTGGGAGGACCTAAACAATGATGATGCACTGATGGATCTAGGGGGTCATGGGGGCTCCATCCCCCCTACTGACTTGTCTCCATTACAACTAAAAGGAAGATTAGGGAGAAAGAAGTGAGGGGAGAAAATGATGAAGAGAGTGAAGATGTGAGTGAGGAGAGGAAGAAGTAGCTAGATCGCCTAGAGCTTGATGCTTAGTTCACCCTCTCAATGTAACGTGTCACCAGGGCGTCGCCATGCTTGATGCTGACAAGAGGGAGAAGACGGTAAAGAGAGCATGAGGACCACGCCCGTGTGATGCTAGCATGGTGCTTGTTGCATCCAAGAGCTCATGGTGGTGGCACAATGTGAAAGGCGCACAACCGACGAGTGTGACATTGACATCATATCATAGGTGTAGCATGGTCGCAGAATATCCCTAGAGTAGAGATGGCCCCAATTCATCAAGATTAGTATGCCACATCAGCATTAGTATAACCTAGGTGACACAACTTAAAAGGTTTATTGATGGACCCAGAATCAGTTGACAGGCCTAACTAAAACCACCACACAAGTTAATAAATCTCTAGTGCATTTAACTCTAGAAAAAAATACATCTTGTTTGCTTTAGTTGAAATCTTTCTCAACGTCTTAACAAAAGATAGAAAATATATTTGCATAGTTTAGGGAGCAACAAAATAAATATTTAGATTATTGTATAGAATTTACGAATGAGACAAGATTTTTGTGAATAAAAAGATGATACAAAATATAGAGAAATGACCAGAAAGATTAGAATTAGCAATAATTACCTTTGTGAAGTTAATCGCCGAAGAGACAACAAAGTCCACATATGAAGGAAGATCATATTGGTGGCGTCTCAAAGGGAGAGTGAAATAATTATTTATAATGTCATTTGCCCCCATTATTGTAAAGAAGACGCCTTGTGAGATAACTCGTGTCATTTCCTTCTCTCCAACTAAAGCTGTTAGCTTCTGCTTGTAGTCATGAAATAGTTTAAGTTGGTCGGTACTCGACAAGGTGCTCTGCATTAATTTGCATGTCTCAGCTTACGTAACAATTTCATTCTCAGAAACAATAAAGAAGATAACAACTTCAATATTGATATAGCTTCTTGATTTGAAAAAAGTATATACACATATATAATTATTACCGCAAGCGTGGATGTGAGCGGATCATAGCCACTGCCTCCACAAGCAAACGCCACACCAGTGAGTAGGTCCTTTAGTTGTAGATCAGGACTAAGGAAAGGAGGCAGCAGCTCCTTAATACCCAACTTGGAAGCTGTTCAGAAATAATTGCACTATGAGAAAGAAGTTATGATGTTTCACCCAACGTTGCAGTAGTACTGGTGATGAGTATTGCACTATTAAAGAACAAGGACCTCTATCCAATTTTCCTCATATGTCATTCATGTGTTCGAGCATTCTAGTTTCAAATTGAGCTATTAAATGCATCAGCGGCCTCTAAACCTGTCAAGGGATGCCACTAAGGTCCATAAACTTTGAAAACAGATTTCTAGATCCACTTTGGTTCAGCTTCTGGTAAAGCAACTTCAGGTTCTGCTTTTTGACAGTAAAAGCACTTTTCAGAAGCTGAACCAAACAACAAACATAATATCCTCAATGATTAAAGGAAGGTTACATGCATGATTTGCTTTTTCCCCCATATAATATGTACTAGAATTTCTAAGATACCTTATATTTTAGTATATGTATGGTAGCCGCGCCAAGTCTTTTATATATTGATCCCTCCAAGTAATATACTATTTGGTTCTTTATTTGCAGCTTATTAGGTTACTCGTGCACACATACACACCCATACCTTATATTTTAGTACCTGAAATTCTTTGATTTTAAAAAAAATTAGAATAACTTATAATTTAGGACGGAGGGAGTATATATTCGATTCGAATATACTAGCTAGCTAGCTTTCCCCAATTTTAGACATGCACTCCAATACTTGCATGGACAGCAGTAAGCATCCACACGTACGGTGTCTAGACCACTATAGGCACACCGGCCTCTAAAAAGAATGGTTTCCTTTAATTTGCATACTAGTAGCTAGTAGCTTAGTACTCCTTACATTCATTCCAAATTGTAAAATAATATTTTGACTTTTTTAAATATATGACTCTTTTAATGTATTTTATATAGGGCGTGGCTAGTGTCCGGATGTCCGGACGCCCGCTCAGCCCGCCCCGTCCGCCTTTGCCCCGCCCCACGCACGCACTTTGCCCTCGTCTCTGTGCCCATCGGTCGCCCCCAACCCCCTCCTATCTCTCCACGCGGGCGGCACTCAGGAGCCGGGATGAACAGCTGAGGATGAGCACGCCCCCAGCACGCCCCGACCGCAACACCGAAGCACCACCGTCCGTCGGCCCCCCAACGCGCCGTGCAGCCAGACTGCTCGCCCTCGGCTCACCCCCAACCAAACAACATAAAACACTTGCAGCATGAAAAACATTTGAATGCAACATACGTCTGAAAAAAGATGAAACATTTAGAACATACACTTGCAATATGTGTGCGAAACACATGAAACATCCAAAAATTGCAACTTGCAACATGAAACTACTTGCTGCAACATAAGACTGAAACAACTAAAACATTTGGAACATATTGTTGCAACATATATGTGAAACATATGCAACATCCAGAAAAAATTGATTGCAACATATGTCTGGAAACAAATGAAACATTTTGAACAAACGCTTGCAACATGCTTTTGAAACACTTGCAACATCTGCAACATCTTCCGATCTACTTTTGCAACATCAAGATGAAACAATTGCAATATACATCTAAAACGTCTGAAACACTTGAAACATATATATATGCAACATATGGGAGGGGAAGGTTGGGGCAACGAGCGAGGAATCAGGCTTCGAATAGCACCATGGCCAGTGCCGCGAATCTGCACCGGGGTCCGGCAGCCGAAACATGCCCGGTGACTCGCGAGAGTGGTAGACGGGTACCTCTGCGGAGCTGCCCCGTACCTCGTGGAGTATGACCTTGTCGAGGTCGTTAGCGCCCTTGCAGTGCCTGACGGGCGCCGCCTCCTGCTTCTCTTCGCCCGTCGGCGGCCACGACGCCAAGACTGACATGCTGTCCTTCCGCCGGACCGAGCCGCAGCGAGCACCGCACGCCGAGGCCGAGCGAAGCGGAGCAGTGGAGCTGGAGGGAGCGAGAGGAAGCGGAAGTGGAGAGAGGCAGGCAGGCAGGGCTAGCTCGAGGTCCATTTGGGGAACTTTCGGCTAGCGCCCTATGCGTGCGTGTTGTTTTTTGAGAGAGAGCGGATGAGTGGATGAGGATGAGCCGCATCCGGACGGGATAGACTCATGTGGGCCAGCATTATCGATTTATATACTACTTTTGTCAAGAAAAAATAATTCTAGTTGCATTTTTGTTAAAGTAAATTTGACCAAATATATAGTTAAAAGTATTAACGTCGTTTATACTGCCAAATAAGTATATTATGAGTATATCATGAGGAAATTAATGATACTTATTGAACTACATTTTGTTTTTATATATAGTTAGTCAAATTTGAGATACTTTAACTTGCTATCATACTATAATTATATTTTTTTAGGACGTGATAAAGGAGTATGGCCCTGCTCGTTTATCTTATAATCCGTCTTTTTTGGCTTGTTTTTTCAGCCGGAACAGTGTTTTTCTCTTACAACAAATCAGCCGGAATAGTATTTTGTCTTTTTTTTAGCGAAGCGAACGGAGCTTATATACTATGTCTAGATATATATAGTAAAAACAATGCATGCAGAAAAACTAAAACGTCTAACGATTTGGAACTTAGGGAATACTAGTTTATGACATTAGTTGTGCAATCTAGCTAGATATAATTAATTAATATAATTTAATCTCTTGCTCAAGTACCGTGCCTCCGACAATATAATATAAATAAATAAATATACACCATGTATGTACGGATACTGATGGAAGGAGCATTGAAATCTAAACAGGGTCGGCAGCATATAGGATAGGAGACTACCCCCACGCACGTACCAAAGATGTCCCCTGGGACCAAGCCATTGGAGAACCTCCCGGTGGCGACGCCGCCGGGGAAGTCCTGCCCGTACGGCGGGAAGTTGGCCTTCGCCGCCGTCAACCAGTTGTTGGTGTTGCCGGGGTCGACGATAGAGTCGCCGAACACGAAGATGGCCGGGATCTTCGGCCGCTGGTGGTCGTCCGTAGCGGCGGCGGAGCCTCCAGCTGCTGCCGTCGTCGTCGTAGCTCCGTCTGCATGGACGACGACGACCACCAGCGCCGCCGCCGTGGCCACGAGCAGCGCCCGGACGAATCGGCACCACGGCAGATGGGTGTTCCCCCTGCAGAGATAGGGCGTCAGAGACTGAGACGACGCCATTATTGCCAGGTCGTCGTCGCTTCTCCAGCTGCTGGCCGGCCGGGCTGGGACACTCGCGCCTGGCGCCCTACGAGTTTTTATTTATAGCAGCGCGCATGAGAATAGACGCGCACCGACTGTGACGACACCATCGAAAAGGAAGAATTAGTTGCTGTGATGGGAAAAGGGCAGGCCGCTAACATGATTATTATTGCCACTTCTTCCGGCCTACTGTTACTAATTAGACATAGGTTCCTTAGAAATTCTCACCAGACGCACTAGGAAAAAAAGATAAATACTATATATTTTCAGGTTAACTAGAAAGATCCGGCTATATCAAATCAAAAGACTCTAACCATTGCTACCATTATATAGATAAAACATAGTCTAAAATCTTATTATTCGGGAAAAGGTCACACCTACCGACGTTCACAGTTGGTTAAAAGAAGGCCTACCAATCATCGGTATCCATGCATCACGTTCACGATTAATTAATTAATCTATATTAATAAAAGAATCAGGTACGGTCATTCCAACGTCAACAGTTGGGCAAAAGAAGAAAAAAAAATATGTCCATAGTTGGTGAATAAAATATCTATAACGCTTCTTGAGATTCTACGAAAACACCGTATCAATGCTAACCAAACCAACAAGTTACATCTATCGTCTCCATTGTGCCCATGAACAGGACAAGAATATCTAACCGAACTCAACGGCAAATCAAAATTCTCACTCTGATAATCTTTCTCCCCTATTTAAATAAGCAAGACAGCCTATCCAACAAGGGTTATCGTTGCCCAACCAAAATGATCCCCTTACTTGCAATACAATCTCGACACAACGACGAATGCAACCAAGGATGTTGCCAAGATCAATAAGGTACCAATGCGCTCCACCTTTTCTTCCATTGAATATTGCATTGGTTATTACCAATCTTAACTATTGTCACATCTATTAATCATATAGAGCAAAAGCTACACGGGAGAACATCATGCCAACCAACAAGATGATTCTCAAAGAAGCGGCGCAACATCTAGTAATCAGGATAGAAACATAATAATGTTACCACCTCCTCTCAAAGACCCAACAAACGACCTAATGTTGATCCAAATGGTTCCATCGCTGACACACGTTTCCTCGTTCGGTCTCGTGTGCTACCATCTTTCCAATCGGCAGTTTTCTTCCTATAAAAACATCAATTGGTTCTTTATTACCTCATGATAGATAGATTACTTTTTTTGAGGGATCCATACCAGTGTGCCAATATTTTTGCCAGCGACTTGCACAGCCCAGCTACACACACTAACAAGGCCCATTAAACACTTGCTGCCGCCCGTGGTAGGTCAGAACTAATTTTGGAATAGGAATTTTGGAGCAAAATAAGGCCCCGTTTAGATTCAAAAAAATTTTACGCAGTATCCGTCACATTAAATCTTGCAACACATGCATGGAGTACTAAATATCTAATTGCACAGTTTTGAAACTTTTAAACCTAATTGTCTTAGGAATCCTCAAACCCAAAAAATTTGGATCTGAGCGTGTTTTCTTTTCTTTTGTGTCTTAGGAATCCTATATGATCGTTTCCTGCATTCTAGATTCTTATAGAATTTCTTTTTTTTCGAAAGGAATTAGAACTTATATTAAATCTTGGCACACTACATCCACAAATGAGGAAAATGCATCACCGATCCTCAAACTTGACTTGGGGTGTCATTTAGGTTCATGTACTCTCAAGATGCAATTTCTAGGTCCCTCAACTTGGTTTTGGGTCTCATCCAGGTCCAAACAAATCTTAAGTCACTCATTATGCTGACATGGCGTGTGGAGCCCACTTGTCAGGCCTGAATAGGTCCTTCTCTTATCCTGCGCGGCCTTGGCGGCAGCGGCGCATGCGGCGGGGCCACCGGTGTCGAACGTGCTCGTCGCCCGCCTTCCACACCAAGAACCCAAGCTGCTCACGCCCTTCGTCGCCGACACCGTGCAGCGGATGCTGGAGGAGCGCGTGCTGCTGCCGTCGTCGTCGTCGAGCGAGGTGGAGGTGGACGTCGCGGAGTGGTGCCAGCGGCTACCGCAGCAGGCCATCGCCGTCGCCGCCTGCCCGAGGCCCCGAGCCCTCGCGGATCCATGGCCGTGCAGCCAGCACTCCCGGCTCAGCAAAGCGAGCTTTCCCCTTTTCGCATCGCATCACCCATTGCACGTTCGAAGTCCAGCTCACCGTCGTGCTTGGGCACAGCACTGGTGCATGCACGCGCACGCATGGCGGAGCGGCGCTCCAGGTGTCGGATCTCTGCATCGGCAGCCAGCGGTGAGGTGGCTTCCGCCGCCGTCCACGGTCGCAGACGCCATCGCCGACTTCGACGCAGCCAGCGGCGGCCGCGACGACGTGGCCTCGCGGTGTGGGAAGGTAGCGAGGGGTCCCACGTGGCCGGCCGGGTGTGCATGGCCGGCGCGCAGTTCTCCGCCATGGCCGAGCTCGAAGCCATCCGCCCTGCCGCGCTCACCGTCGCGGCCAGGAACAGCGCGCTCTCCGCCGTGCCACACTGGCTCCCCACGCGCCGCCTCGTCAGCGAGATCTCGCCGTCCGCGCTCTGCTTTGTCGGCGGCGCCATCACCTCCATCAGCTGCGCTGTGAACGGGTTGCCGTCGTTGCGGAAGATGGCGGCGGCGGACTCGAGAGACGGCATCGCACAATGGAGATCTCGGACTTGAGCTCCTCCAGACAGGAGTGGCTGTGCTCGGCGGCCGGCTCGTCTGCGGAGAGGAAGGCCTACGGCGGCCGTCGCGGCCTAGGCCGGCCCGCGGCCAGGGAGCCGCGTGGGCTCGGGTGAGGAAGGAGAAGATGGCCGGCGTCGGGTGCATAAGAAGGCGGGCCAGCGCGGGCCGCCGGCGTCGAGCGGCTCGAGCAGCGGGCGTCGCGGTCAGGGGTCGAGGGGCGCCGCCGCGCGGGCACCTCGCTGTGCAGCGCTGTCGCCGCGCACCTCGCGCAGGCCGGCACCACTTGTTGCCCGGGAGAGATAGGGGCCACGGGGGCTCGGCCTGATGGGGATGGCGCAGGGGGCGGCGGCCTGCCGGTGTCGGCCTCCTGCCCAGCGTCCGGCTTTGATAGAGAGAGAGAGAGCGTGCTGAGAGAGCAAGGAGAAGACCACGGCCCGACACGTCAAATGCAGAGTCAGCAGCCACGTCAGCATGCAAAGCGGGTGACGTGTGATCTAGACGACACCTGAAGTCAAGTTCGTGACCTAAAAAATAACATTTTAATAATAAAGGGACCTAGATAACACCTCTGGCTAACTTAAAGGACTGCCAATAAATTTTCCTCTCCCAAATTATACATGAAAAAATAAAAAATAAAAAATACATAATATTCTATCTAGATTCTTCTATTTTTTTCTTCCCCAATGGCTTCCCTCGAATGTCGGAGCCAAAGTTCCTTGTGCCAAATCCAACGACCAACCCCAAAACATTAGACATGCTGCAAGATCAACACTTCGGAACCGGTCCGAAACACATCTTATCGGGGACCAATACTAGGGGACCCGAAGAGAAGAAGCTAATGGTCATCAACATTGACTCATTCGAACAGTCAAGAGCGCGACTACAGCTCCAACCGACTCCAGGTGCGCGGGCTCCGCCTCGTCCGGCCCCTTGGGTTCGTGCTCCGTCTCACCCGACCTCGGGGGTTCGCGGGCTCCGCCTCGCCCGACCCTTGGGTGCGTGCTCCGCTTCGCCCGACCCAAGGGTCGTGGGATCCGCCTCGCCCAGTCCCTTGGGTTCGTGCTCCGTCTCACCTGACCCCAGGGGTCGCGGGCCCTGCCTCGCCCGACCCTTGGGGTGCGTGCTATGCCTTGCCCGACCCTGGAGTCCGAGGCTCCACCTCGCCCGACCCCAAGGGTTGCGGGCTTTGCCTTGCCCGCCCCCTTGGGTTCGTGCTCCGTCTCGCCCAAAACTAAGGGCGCGGGTGCCGTCTCGTTCGATGGGGACCCATACTGTCGCCAACCACTCTAGGTCCAAACGTATGGCCCTGGGTCAAAACTCTGACACTAAGGAAGAGACCGGTATGCCCCGATGTAACCCGTGGCCATGACGGGCCATACCTGAGGATTCACATCAGAAACAGCGTCACGCGTACCGGTGTTGTTCTGCCTAACCCTTGTACGAACGCTGACATGCGCGTCAGTTCACCATGTCGTTCGCCAGGACAGAATGGAGCGCCATGACCGGTAGATGGCGCCTGCGCGTGGCGCCAGTGACGGACAGGGCCGCGATGTGGAGCTACCCTTGTTCACATCTACAGGGTTGGCGGGACCCGTATGAAGGAAAAGAAGGACCCGGTGATCCTGAAGAACTTCTGCTCCCTCTCATTCTTCTCTTTTCCTCCGCTGTAACCTGTGCTTTCCCTTGGCCTATAAAAGAGAAAGCAGGGCGTCCCATGGAGGGGATCGACCCATCGAGCACCAATCGAATCACCCCAGACCGATCAGAACACGAGAAAAACACACAACAACACGACACGAACACATGGCTGAGCAGCGACCGAGCTCTCAGCACCCGTTCACTCTTTCCACCAAAGACTTAGGATCCTTTTCCTCTCTCGCCCATTTATACCCCCTACTACAAACTTACAGTGCTAGTAACACGAGCAGCAGCAACGAACTAGACGTAGGGACTTTCTGCCCCAACCAGTATAAACCTCGTGTCCTTTAAGCATGCCATCCGAGCCAGACGAGTAATATTGGAAATTTACTCATCGGTGGTAACTCGAAACACCGACAGTTGGTGAGCCAGGTAGAGGCCTTTTGCGCATCTCGATGTTCACTTCAGGTCTCGGATGGCCAATCACGGCGTTAGCTGGGTCCTGGGAGCGCACGTGCGCTTCGAGGACCTAGACTTTATCGTCACAATGGAGGGAGAGTTGGCACAGGCTTCTACCGCCGTCCTACCTCTCCACTCCACTGGCCTCGACGTGATCACCAAAGCGCTTGAGGAGCTGCAGCAGCACGCACCTGAGGCCCACGCCCTTA